AACCATCACTATAATTATAGAAATTTTCATCACTCAAAAAAGAAACCCAGTATCCATTAGCAGTATTTCTGCTCAATCCCCAGACCCTAGGTAACAAAATAATCCGCTTTCAGTCTCTATGGATTTACCTTCTTTGGACATTTCATATTAATAGAATTTAAAAGGTCTTGTGACTGGCTTCATTTCTTAAGGGTATATACTTGGGGGTAGAATTGCTGGGTCATATGGTAACTCTTATGTTTAAACTTTTGAGAAACTACCAAACTGTTTTCCAAAGTGGCTGTACCATTTTACATCCCCACCAGCAGTGTAGGAGGGTTCTGATTTCTCCATCCTTGACGGCACTTTTTATTAGTTGTCATTTTGTTCACACCAATCTTTGTGGGTGTGAAATGGTGTCTCATGGTGATTTTGATTTACATTTCCCCCTTGAGTAATGATTTTCAGCATATTTTTGTGTGCATTAGCATTTATACATCTTCTTTGGAATACTGTCTAGTCTTTATATATTCTAGATGAAAGTATCAAAGGATATTTGGAAGATGCAAATGGAGACAATGCAGTTATTCTCAGCAGTTGTGGCCTCATACACAGTGGTGGTCAGATAGGATGTTTCGGCAGACCTGTCCAGGATCACCTTGACACCAGAGGCTCAGCTATTCAGACTTCTCCACAAACTACAGCTTTTTACCCTCACCAATGCTTCAGGCTTGAGTGGTTAGTAATTATAACTTTATCCTCCCCCAATTCTCCTCTTTCCAGACTTTCAGACCCCAGCACCCCTTTGTCCTTAAAGTTAGTCCTCATTCACATAATTCCTACATAAAACATATTCTCTCTGTAATGCTTGTGGTGGCTCTGTTTTCCTGACTGAATCCAGACTGATCACCCAACATTGTATTAGGATAAAATTCCAATAGGATGATTGCAACATTTAAAGTGTTCACCATCCCGTGCCCCTACACTGATCACACAGTATGAACATTGGACAAAGCCAGATAAGTCATTTGGTTAGAATATGGTGCCTATAAAGCCATGGGTCTAGTAATTTGTATGTAACTCATTTTTATTTCACAGAGAAGTAAAGCTCCACAGTAAGATCATTCTATGTATTTTAATCCTCATTAGACATTTTACAAGAGGGTATGAATTATGAAGAGAGAAATTAAGCAAAGAAGTAATAATAACACATAAATTTATACATTATTATAAATTTTGTATACTGAAAACTTAACCAGAAGGAGCATATATTTAAATATCAAGTTGAGAAAAATGTCTTTGTTATTTAATTGCTGATTAAAATAACAGCAGAGGAGATGGAGAGAGGGGGACAGAGGATCTGAAGCAGGCTCCACTCTGATAGCCAGATGCAGGGCTTCAACCCACAAACCATGGGGTCATGACCTGAGCTGAAGTCAGATGCTCAACCAACTGAACCGCCCAGGTGCCCCAAAAGAGGTACTAATTTTTATTTATTTTTTTTTAATTTTTCTTAATGTTTTTATTTATTTTTGAGACAGAGAGACACAGAGCATGAGCAGGGGAGGGGCAGAGAGAGAGGGAGACACAGAATCTGAAGCAGGCTCCAGGCTCTGAGCTGTCAACACAGAGCCTGACGTGGGGCTCAAACTCATGGAGTGTGAGATCATGACCTGAACTGAAGTCGGATGCTTAACCGACTGAGCCACCCAGGTGCCCCTCGGGGTACTAAATTTTAAATGCTAATGATGACCATAATGATGTGAAAAGACTTTTATACAGATTATCTCCTTTAATTTTCACAAATCATTATGAATTGGGTATTTATAAAGCCACTAAGAAGATAGTGAAATACTGCATAGAGAATTTGTGAAACTGATGAGTAGCTGTATAGGTTTGCATACTCAGTGTGCCAGCAGCTCTCTTGTGTTTTTTTCTCCACATTTCCTAATTTGACAAGAGCTGGAAATGAAGTAGATTAGATGCCCTTCTTACTTCTCATTTTGACTTCCAAATCATGCCTTCTCTTTCTTTCTTTTTTTTCAAATTTTAATGTTTAATTATTTTTGAGAGAGACAGAGTGTGAGTGGGGGAAGGGCAGAGAGAGAGGGAGACACAGAATCTGAAGCAGGTTCCAGGCTCTGAGCT